CTGGGCTTAACTGGGGATCAGGGTAGCGCTTACGTGGTGCTGGCACTGGAGGGTGCTCTGGAGGAGCAGGCACAATTCAACGCTCTCTATTGACTTTCTATTGCGGGAAGCTGCCTCCTTGTCATTTCTGACTTATAACAAAAAAACAGAGCAATGCCTAAAAGCTGCTATGTGACAAGGTGTACAGTAAACAAGCTAAAAAACCCAGAACTGCGTTTTTATAAGCTGTCGACCCAAAAAAGTGAGTGTTTAGGACACAAATAGTTGTAGATGTCGGGTATTTCACGTTGGGCCATTCAGTTGGATCATTTCTCAAACAAAAGGAAGGTTAGGAAAAGGGGCACTGACATAGACCAATAAAATTTAATTTCTTAATATATCTCCTCTTCTCAGATTCGCATAGGGTGGTGAAATAATCCTTTGACATGGTTAAAAATAATGAATGGTCTTGTCGCCGATTATGTTTCCCTCCAGTGGGCGCAGTTCTCAGAGTAATATGACACATTGAGCTCTACTTTTGTGTCCTAAACGCTAGTTTTTTTGGGTTGACAGCTTATAAAAACGCAGTTTTTAGATGTGGATCCAACCATGCCCCCTGGATCTTGTGTTCTGCAGTGAGGGGCTACTACATCTTGGCAGCCCGTAGTAAACTTGCGTCTGCTATCGAGTCCGGGATGTGAATCCGTCACTTATCTCGGTGCATCTCGGTGTACGACTAAGAAAAGAAGACACGATCGTTTCTCACGGCCGCTCCACACGCGTGCTGTACGGCGATCAAACGGACGGGACGCCGCTGTCACGAGCAGAGAAAGTCACTCTGTGAATCATGCCAGTTGTTTTCTCTAATCTCGGCTGTTTTGTCATAAGCTATACTCCATTAATTGATACTATAGATATATTTCCAAGATTATGAAATCCGTATGCACTGCCTAAATGTATTAATTGCTTGCTTGATCAGCCATTTGAATAACGGTCTCTCTACAGATTTAAGGAATATTAACATTGTTCTTGTTTAATTGCAATGGCAAATCCATCATGGCGGAGAAAATTAATCGTAGATGGAGGTTTTAATCGCAGGTTAGAATTCTAATCCCTGATTTGTTCATCTGTGTTTAAAATTAAGTGGTGCAACACAACTCGATTTAAAATAAAAACCCAGATCAACAAATCCTTGATTAGCTCTAAACTTTGCTTAATTTAATCCTTGTTGGTGCAACCCACCCTAAGTGTTCTTTTTCACACTGGACGCTCAAGCAGAGCTGAAACAGCACGCACCTGTTGTGCTTTCACACTGGCGGTGTCATGTGCAGGTTTACCACTCTGATATGTTTGGCTCAAGTCGCGCAAATTTGCAAAGTTGGTCTGCATTTTCAGAATCTGACTCGGGCTCAAACTGATGGTAAAACTGTTGACATTATTAGGCCTAACTGTTATAATTGCTTTAGAAGCTGAATCTTGTGATTTTTGTATGGGGCGTTACATTTCCGACACACGCTTGAGATTTTCGGCCAATCATAACGCACTGGGTCAGCTGGCCAATCAGACCACACTGCACTTTTCGAAGGAGGGGCTTTGTAGAAATCGACTCGTTTTAGAAAGACTGGGCATGGAGGGATCAACAATAATGAACAGTACGTGAAAAAAATTTGTTTTTGAGTATTAAAGCATGCTAACATATTCAATTGCACCCAATACACAAAATAATGATCTTTATTTAAATAGCATCATATGAGCCCTTTAAACAATTAAGTAAACAAAGTATCATTACCTTAATGTAATGACTAAATAAGAAGTCTCTTCTGCTCACCAAGGCTGCATTATTTGATTAAAAATACAGTAAAAACAGTAAATATATTTCACATATATTTTCACATATTGTAGTATAAATATTACAATTTTAAATAACAGTTTGCTATGAGAATGAATGAAAATTAAAATATTGTAAAATGTAATTTATTTCTGTGATGGAAAGCTGAATGTGTTAACACACACACACAATTTTGGTGGAAATGTGATTAACAGCTGAATGCAAAAACTCTTTTAAAAAAAATCATAAAAATTGACTTAATTTTCATGCAAAATAATCGTTTACAGTAAATATTTTCTTGTTTTTTCTTTCAAATTTTGTAGCGAAACATGACCCTGATGTGTTTTGGTCAGATTCACCCTTTTTAGGGTAAATTATCAATTAATGATCAATAAATGACGGGTGGAAAACTTTTGAAGAATGACAATACAAAAATTGCCTAAAACACCATTAAGGCACAACAATGACACTATTTCCAAGTCTTCTTAAGTAGGGTTATTATTGTGAAATAACTTACTGACCTTAAAGTTTTGATTGGTGGTCTACATATAATTAATAAAAATACAGAAGGCCTACATATATGTGCATTTAAATATAATGTAAATATATATTATACTATTTTTTTAATTAATTCTTTGTATTACAGTAATGAAAGCTAAAACATCAAAAATGTAACGTGAACTGAAATAAAATATTGATATAATATGTATTACTAATATGTAGCTATACCAATACATATTACCATAAATATACAATACATATATACATATTTTTTACGTCATGTGAATTTTTTATTATACTAAATGTAATATTTTTAAATAAAGTATTTGTATTACAGTAATGAAAGCTAAAACTAAATCCATAAAAAAAAAAAATACTGAAATAAAATGAACGGAATTTAAATAAATTTTGAAAAACTTAATGAGCCCAAAACTTTTGAATGGTAGTGCACATATAATTAATTCAAATACATATTTACACATTTATATGTTATTGAAATATTTATTGTACTGAATATAATTTATTTGTAATAAATTGTTGCAGTCACAGCAATGAAAATTAAACTTAAACCAAAACTAAAATCATTTTAAAAAGTATTGCAAATAAAATAAATATTAACTGAAATAAAACAACATATGCATATAATGCATATAAATAACTGCTGCCAATGCTACATAACTAAAATAACTAAGTCTGAAATAACTAAAATTAAATCAACTAAAATTAATGAATAAAATGAACTATCAAAAAACAAAATTTACTACTCCAAAATGACTTTAACTAAAACTAAAGTGAAAACAGAAAATATAAAAATAAAATCGAATTCAAAATATTTAGAGAAACTAGAACAGTATCTCAATGATACTAAAATAACACCATTCTGAAGTCCTGTGATGCTTTGTGTGAGAAACAGACCCAAATGAATTAGGGAATGAATGAAGTAATTTTGTTATCAGTGAGATGTCTGTATGCAGGATAAAGAGGAGCAGTGGATGACCAAGCTGGTTCCTGGCATGAATGACTTTGCGCTGCTACAGCCGCTGCAGTGGAACACGCGCTACAATGTGGAGATCACGGCGCGCAATGTCAAGGGCCTGTCAGAGCCCACCTTCTTCCAGTTCCTTATGCCGCAGAAACCTGACATCACAGGTACACGCGCATCCTTCACCGCTCCACATCTGCCCCACAGCTCGCAGACTGGTGATGTTCTGCAGAATTGTGTCAAATTACCACTGAATTCATTTGCTTTTATTATCCAGAGTTTGGCTGCATCCCACTTCGCCTATAGTGTACTATACAGGTTCTGTTTCAAACCCTACATAGGGGACAACCTTTTGATATAATCCTAAGTGAACTGGTACTTCACAAGCTATTTTAGTATTTATTGTTATTTTTAATTAGTTTTTATTTTATATGTTTTTATTGTTTTTTTTGTTTGTTTTTTATATGAAAAATAAAATGAAGTCTTATATAGTTTTATAATATTTTGCAAAACTGAAATTAAACTTGTTTTAGAACTATCAAGATATTTTACTTCTTATTTTTTGTAATCATTATTATTATTATTATTATTGTTATTATTCAGTATTTTTTTGTTTTTTTATTTTTATTTTTTTATTTATTTATTTTTTGTTATCACCATAATTTGGAAAGTACAGCAAATACTATATAAATACTTTTAAAATTTAAATATTATATTAATATGTAATTTAATTTGATTCATTTGTAAAGCATTTTCCCCCTTTAAAATAATGACAATTTTGGGGATAAATGTTGTGCTTTTAACTAATTAATTGATTGATTGATTGATTGATTGATTTCTGTATTTATTTATCTATCGATCAACATGAAT